CAACACACAGATAAAGTTATTGCACCATAAATCATTATGGGTTCGGAAGGATTTCCAAAAGTTGACCATGGAATACACGGACGAGGATTCTGTGAAACCCTTGACACAGGTCGGAGGGACAAAATTCTTTCGCTATGCATGTTTGCATATCGTGCATGATAATAGTTAAAGCTGAACCTAATTCTGGGAGTGTTCTCGGTTGCAATATCAAATGAAGAAACTTTCCCTGGAAGATCACTATCGCGAAATAATAGCGATATATTCCAACTATCGGCGGTAAACTTGATTGTGATCAGTTAAGAAGAAGGGTCCTTATCTTAGAAGGATAAGAATAACGGTGGCGTGGCATTTTTATTAATTCCACGCGATCAAGGGGTTAAAGTGCTAGTTGATATCCGAACCTTGTTGGTTCTGATAAGTATGCAGGGCATAGTCCTCAATTACACAGGATTGGTTGAAACTTGAACCTGTCCTGCTGCTAGTTACACCAAAGCTGGGTGAAGGCGCTTCTGGTCCGTGATTTGATGATCACGTCCGGCGAAAACGAATAGACCAGGAAACTTGGAGAAAAGAAAGTGGCATGAAGAGAAACTACCGTTACGAAACACTCCGTTGAAGTACCACTACTGCGGTATCAAAAATAATTTGATCACATTTCTTGAGGGAATTTACCGTGCTGGTTGCAAATTTCGAACACCAAAGCTCTGTCTAACACCTCGACACTTTGAAGGACAAAAATAGAACAGAAGAATGCGAGAAATCGCAAAAAGTAAAGCCATGCGAAAAGCGAAATGACTGCAATTCTTGAACCCCACTAAAACGACCATGACGTGACATTTTAAATGGTCACAACGTTGAAAAATCGTCTCGGTTACAACGAAAGCGCTAAAACTCATAGAGAATTCATTGGCATATCCTAATTAGGTATTGTAGGCCGATTACAGATAGGAACACTTTAAAAGTCAAACCGCGTGCGAACGTACCGCAAAATTTCTTTCGTGTGGTATCATCACATACAGTAAGATCAATTATTAGGTTTTTTTTTGCCTAATACCAGTGAAGTTTTGGTTTATTTCGCGAAATGCTTTCCTGGTGTGTATTATTTTGAAACATCTCCTAAGCTCGGGACACACTTGTTTGAATGCTTGCTGGCCTGCTACGTCTTGCTGAGCTCGATCTGGCGGCATTAAAACCACACTTCCGAACTCGGTAAGTGGCTCCGTTGCGGGGTCGTATTGGCTGAATTTTGTGGCACGAGTAACCGACATTTTTTCGATTTCAGCCCGGAACCGCATCCTGTTTCATGGTTGAAGGCTGCTATTATCGAGAGGCAGATGTTAGTTCGTGTAACCGAAAATGGCTATCAACGTCAATCGAGAGGTTGAAGATACCTTTTACAGGTACAAGATGCCCAAGCTCGCCGCCAAGGTATGTTGCCTTACAATGTCTACAACGTTCTCAAGGTAGAGGGAAGGGGAAATGGCATCAAAACCGTCATCGTCAATGTGTCAGACATCGCAAAGGCTTTAAATCGCAAGCCCATCTGTAGGTTTTCATCATGTTGATTCATTTAGTAGATTTGACGAAGTTTTTTGGTTGTGAGTTGGGGGCCCATATTCACGTGGACGACAAAAATGAACGGTATATTGTCAACGGTGCACATGAAGCAGCTAAGCTCCAAGAACTGCTTGACGGCTTCATTAAAAAGTTTGTTTTATGTCAGTCCTGTGGAAATCCAGAAACAACAATGGTAATTTCTACTTCTCCTTCGTGACTTAATGTCATAGCACGTGAGCAGGAAATTGGGTACCGTCGGCACAACGTGTAAAGCCTGTGGTAGTCAAGGTCAACTCGATGCAACACATCGGCTGACACAATACATCGTCAAGAATCCACCCGAGCCTGATGTCACCGCGACCAAAGCCAAAGTCAAGAAGGGTAAGAAGAGCAAGAATGGCACAGACCGAAATTCGGGTAAGTTGCAATCATAACCCCGTAACTTGTCCTAGATGAAGACCATGATGCCAGTGCTGCTGGAGGTGACGAGAACAGCCGGCACAGTCCGGTGAACAACGTGGATGGGGATGATGACGATTGGGTCGAGGATACCACAGAGGAGGCCCAGTTACAACGGATGAGCGAGCTCTCTGCTATGGCGAAGTCCCTTGCCCTCAGTGTCGACGTAGACAAGTCTGAGACCGAAAGAGCGGATGTGTTCTTTAAGCACTTACTGCAATTGAAACAAAAAGACTTGGTCGTTCAGCAGCGTCGTGAGGTGAAACAAGAAGCAGAGAGACTCAACCTGGGACCGCGTGCAGTCTTAGTTCTGGCGGAAGCTTTGCTTTCGTCACCTTCAACAATTGTGACTGACATTAAGTCATACGCATCCGTGTTTCTGCTTTTCACACGCTTGGGAGAGCATGCAAAGCGTGCTCAACATTATCTGTTGGGAGCAATGGCAAAGCTGATTGAACGTTATAGAGAGCAAGATCTCTTGTCAAAAGCCTGTCATATTTTGAAGTGCTTCTATGACTGCGACGTTGTGGAGGAGGACGTCATACTTTCCTGGTACGACAAAGGGGTGAGTTGCGCACCAAAACTGACTGTTGTAGCCTTCAAAAAAATTTGTTTCTAGAGATCTGAGCGCAAAAATCCTCAACATCTGCGCACCCATGGTCAAATGGTTGAAGGAAGCTGAAGAGGAAGATTCTGACGAATCCGAGGATGAGGAATCGCATACCGTTGACACTTCACAGGTGAGGATTTTTTCTGTTATTACTATTCGCTGTGTAGGCTGATTCTGATCATTCAAAAGCACCGGAGCCTGTGAGGATGAATAATCATGTCAAACAAGAGTCCGATAGCGAAGATGACATTGACATTGATGCTATTTGATGAACTATGTTCGTGTCTAATTTTTCCGGAAATCAATACATCCTTATTATATCTTACCTGAACTCCGGAGTTGTTTGTTCCTATTAGTTGCGGTCTTATTTCACTCATTTCTGTATCGTGTGTAACGTCGATCAATACAATCGGAGTCATTATTCTGTACTGCTGAATTTTGAGAGTGCCTTTAAACCTGGGTTCGGTACGTATCTTGCGCTATGTGCTTCCAGCACTACTTTGGCTTGTGTCAGCTCATCGACTGACAAATAATTCTCATCAGGTCAGTTTTTGATGTGTGATCGGGATTTCGGCAGTCATGGGATTGGCCAACGACGTTTTCCGTCATGTCCTTGTAGTGGGAAGGTCTGTCTTTGTGCGTTGTTTTGATTCTTCGCGGAAGGAACCAGTTAGTAGGTTGCTCGGCTTCTGCGCGCTTATCCGCAGTCCGTAGCTGTAGGTAGGTTCTTTGGTGTACTGTTTCACTTCATTCTTTGGGTGAGGTTATCTCGCGCTTCAACTTGTGAAACATTTGACATCGGTTTGAATCAGCATGTTAGTACATGTACTCACAGGACTGGGTTGACAGTCATTGCAGTTAAATTTCAGTTTCTATGTTTTTCAAGTGAAGCAGCTTTTGCATTTAAGCGACTATGAATGTGATTTAGTCAGCTGATTATGCCGTTCAATGTCGCCAATTGCAAACCGTACACAAATTGCGGTTACCAGCGTCACATTGACTAGTCGTGGTTACTATCTTCTGACTGCCGCTTTGATCGAGCAGAAAATTTGGAGTGAAGATGACTGGTTCTGGGAAGAAGTTACGAGCTCTTCGGTGATGCTCACCAGCCAACGACCTACCTGCGTTTCGGTTTCGTTATCAACCGATGAGTAACGTGTGGACCAACCTCGGTAAACATCAATCTATCCATTTCAATCCGCCTTTAGCATGCGCGAAGGCTTGAGCTTTGTTGTGGGATCATGTACACGGTAAAGTGGTCCCACCACAACCATCGTCTGTGAGTTGGTATATCTTACCAGGGTCCGGCATCGATCGATGTCTGTGGCCCTAGCCCGGAGGTACGTCTGCCTCAATTCCTTAGAGTTCTTCAGTAAGTCGATTGACAACGACCACTGAATCGCTCCCAAACACAAGGTACCTTGCGTTGTTCGTTTCGTCTATCCTGCGTCAAACTTCGTATTGATACTATTGTTTATCACCGGTTTGCGAGTAATTTTTGTTCCATAGCACAGCGGCATGGCCTTAGTGGCCTTATAACTTGATAGAGACGTCACGCTGGCGCCATACGTGATTCCGTCCCGCGGGTGGGTACTTCGGCGATTCTCATTTACCAAGCGGGTTGTTAGAGATGTTCCACATACGGCTTTCACGAGCTGCCAAGTAACATTCTATGATTCGGTTACCCGGCAGGCTGACGTCTAGCGAGCGAACATGTAATCAGGATTGGCATACGGTTCAAAGTGACCAA